CTGCTCTGTTGGCAGGCTATGGTGAAAAACGGCATGAAACTGAGAAATATTACACTGCATGTTTTGTATGTGACTGACTATTTTTTAAAAATTAAAAGAGCAACATAATATCCCTACTCCATAGTTTGACCATCATGTAATAATGTGTGTGTGTGCCCGTACATGTGTGTGTGTGTGTATGTGTGTGTGTGTGTTACTTGTACCCTGCCTTTCTCTCAGTAGAGGGACCCATAGGAGCTTAAAAAGAATTAAGAAACATAAGTAATGTGTTCCTATTCTTCCACCACATTTGCATCCTCTGTATTATTATATTTTTTGCTGTTCTGTTTCAGACATTGGCAACCTTCTTGTGAATCAGAATTCCAATCTAAGATTTTGTTTAGTTAAGCACCCTATTGTTACAAAGTTGCCACAGTTGTATAACATTCCCATTAAATGTGTGTAAATGTAATGAACAGAATTGCTAGTTAAACTGCAAAGTTGTATAGAAGCAGGGAAGCTGTTGTGGATGCCACAGTCCCAGAACAGGAAGGAGTAAACAGTGCAGTGGACCCTCGACTTATAGATGGCTTGACTTACAGAGTTTTCAAGTTACAGACTTCTCTGGCTGCAAAATTTAGGTTCAACTTGCAGCCGGAGAATCGACCTAAAGATCAGAAAAAAACCAAAATGGAACAAAAACGGAACAAAAACAGCTGGTTACGGATTAATCAGTTTTCAATGCATTGTAGGTCAATGGAGACTCAACCTACAGACTTTTCGACCTACAGCCACTGTTCCAATACGGATTAATTCCATAAGTAGAGGGTCCACTGTAATGGGAAAAATAAGGCCTCGCTAGTCAGATTATTATATGATCCTCCATAACAGGGAAATGGCAGGAACACAGCTCCAAATTAGTTCTATTGAAATGTATATAGACATGAATGCACCTGCCATTTTCTCAGCTGAGAAGTGTAGATATCACTCATATAGCTAAATATGTCCTATCCAGGTGTTAGAGCATGAAAGTGGGTAGGGCTGAGAATGTGAGGAAAGAGGTAAATCCTAATTTCAGTGAGGTTACTAATGTGTGTGAATCACTGAGGCCAGCCTATAGCTGTCTAGGAAAGACTGTGACTACAAGACAGTATTCCTGATTACTATATACAGGTGCAAAAGCTGGATAACGAAGAACGCTGACTGGAAGAAAACTGATTGATTTTAAACATGGTGCTGGAAAAGAGCCTTGTGGATACCCTGGACTGCCAGAAAGTCAAATAAGTGGGCCCTAGAACAAATCAAGCCTGAACTTTCTCTGGAGGCAAAAATGATGAAACTGAAGCTGTTGTACTTCGGGCACATCATGAGAAGGCAAGATTCACTGGAAAGAACAATAATGTTGGGAAATGTTCCTGCTGACTACCCTCTAATGTCATCATGTAGAGGTAAAACAACACTGCAGCTTCCACAATTTACACAATTATATATTTAATGTAAACTACATCGCTCATCACAAGGCTCAGAGGGTAAAACCTACAATAAGAAATGTGATTTCTCAACTAACGTCTTTCACTTTTATATTTACTTTTATATATCCCCCCCTCTCTTGAGTTTAAACTGAATCCCCAGTCTTCCAAACCCCCAACACAAATCCCTTTTCTCTCCTTCCTCATCTTTGTTCTGGCCTGGTGTCTGTTTTCTGTCTCCCAAAGGAATATTTATAACAGTACCCTAAAACAGCATAGGGCGTAACTTGCTGCATGTAGATGTACTGTACACCCAAGAGCCAATGAATATTTATAATGTTCTACTTGTCGAACTGATATTGCATTCAACATTTCATCCTGTATTCATATATCTGATGAAGTGGACATGTCCACAAAAGCTTACATTAAAATATAGTCTTTAGGGTGCCACATGTTTTGGTCTTGTTTTCTGTTCTTTTGTTTCTTTGGATTTTTGCCTGATATGCTTGCACAGACTGACATGCCTACCTTCTCTGCACAAACCTACTATCTGTTTTCTTTAATGAAATAAACATCAAGCACAAGAAAAGATGCAAATCCATCACAAAGACACATTTATTTGAATAAATGTATTGCCAAAGCATAGGTCTTAGCATTTTCCTTATGGCATATGCAGCTACCCTGCCTTCTGAGGACAAAGAGTTTAGCTGCAGCCTAACATATTAAACAACAGATCTACACTTAAGTTTGTTGTTTTTCATTCCTACAACAGCATCTGCTACTGTCTAATTTAAACATCCACTTTCTGCTGTCACATTCCAAAGTCTGACTAAGGGCAGACACCCATGGGTTCAATATTGGAGAATCCTTTCCCTCACCTTTTCACTCTCTTCATCATCTAAGTTGCTGAGGAATTGTAGTGATGTAAAAAAATGACACTCTCTTTTGGACTTGCCTAATAAAGGCACTGTCTTAATATGGGTACTGTATTGGGTTTTTCCCCTTCCTGATGATCACTGTGGCCCTTGCTTTTTATATGATTAGGAAAGTGTCAAATATAGAGGAAACATATGAAAAAATAAGACTGGTTATTCAAGCAGCACCAGCCAATGCTACGATTCCATGAACACCAGGCCCCCTTCAACTTGATGGAATTTGGTTCTAACTAGGTATCAGATTGAGGTGTTAACAATCTAATAGTCTTGATGCCTAGTAATCATTCACAAGAGCCACTGGGTTGTGTAAACAATATTTCTAGAATTACTACTTTAAACTTCATAAACAGATTAGCATACTTCTCCACCCACCAGTTTATCTGCCCTCTTGTTCAGAGCATTTTTTCTCTCTCTCTGCTTTTCTTCTTTGTTGCTCTGCAGAGACCATCATTATCAGGAAGATACATAAGAATTCATCTTTAAATACAACAGCCTATGAAGCTTTTACCAACAAACATGAAGAGTAATTACGGGAGGTTATTTGAAAACTTGGCCAGGATCCCTTGACATGTACTTTGATCAGAATCAATGTAGTATTAATTAGCATGGATTATCAAGAAGAGTTCGAGCGTGAGTTTCATTGGAGAACAACTTTCTGTCACATTTTATTACTCTGCATAATTTTTACTAATAGGTGTATTATAGCTGCATGACTTTGAGTTCATATTATTTTCATGCTTCAATTATTAAGAAGCATCCAGAATGTTCAAGACAGTAATAGGAATGGCTTTTCAGAAAATTTTAATAGTGGAATTTATTCATATGTTATTTTTACCAAACCACATTTTGAAGCTTTTATTTTTGTCATTTAACATTACGTGACAATTTCCTAAACAGTGGTACACAGGAAAGTGACCCTGAATCAAGGGAGAATACAGTAAATCCCACCTAACTCCAAGATTAATTTCTAACCAATGAATAATCAAATGAGCAATGCAGAAATCTATCAGCAATTTTACATAATGAAAGTTCCAGCCAGAGCAAAAACCACCTAAAGATTATCCATTTGTGAGTCACAAAATGAAGTTGAGTTAATTTTGTATTTTTCATGTTTCAGTTATTTTTTAATTTACACACACTTTCTTCCAGAAGCTTGAATAGACTGATCTGCAAATACATCCATATCTTGGGCAAAGCCCCAATTTGACAGTTGGTGATAAGCATAGAGACTCTTGCAATCACACTATACAGTATCACCACAAAGTCACCCCCAGAGTCGCCAAAGCAAGCAGACGGCGAGAACAGACAAACAGAGTCATGTGCCACAATGTGGTCATGCAAGGCCATAATGACGCCTGCCAGCTTGGAAGACTTAGATCCCGTTAGAAAAGTCCTTCTCAAAGTCATGCTCTTAAATCTTGTCGGACATCAACTTACAGAAACCCCAGCCAGCAAAGCCCAATAGTCCAGGATTCCAAGATTTGCCATCCAATAACATGTCTGGCCTCAAGATTCAGAATCACCACTGGAGTATTTGGAGTCCCGATACTACACACTGAAGAGTGGTTATTACTTTAAAAGCCCTTCTAGGACATGTTCTAAACAAGCAAAGCAATTGTTAAATTGAGAAATAAAAAAAAAAACATACTGTAGGCTGAGTCTAAAGGTCTGTTGGTCATTATGTCCAAGGACACTCTGGGCTTGTGTTACTCAAACGGCAACCCTCATACAAAATAAGAACAGCCTTTTGAAACTGAAGAGACATTCAGAAGGAGTTTGTGCTTGGCCTCACCTGAAAAAAGTCTCAGGATGCAGGCTATAGTACATTGATGTAATGTTATGTGACATCACTTTTGAATGTATTACATTTGTAACTCACATCTCAGCTGTATACATTCACCTGACCACCATCACCACCACCACCCATACTGGCTCACATCACTGCAGGTACTGTAATATCTAGTGTTCACTGAATCGCCCAAAGTCATCCAGTCTCGAAGCCACGAGGATAACTGAGGTCCTCTGAGCAGTTTCCAGAATGCCAAGAAATAACTATAGGAAAGCATCTGCCATGCACAAATATTTCCATACCAAGTAATTATCATTTAATGAAAGCCATGTTACAATATTCCTTAGAGACAATTGTTTCAGTATTTTATTTTAATGCTGTTTAAAACAAGGCAAATTATATCTTCAAAACCAACCAGCATATTCTTTCTCTCTCCAACAGGCTAATACACGCCCCTCTCTTCTTTAATAAATGTCTCAGATTACCACAGCAGAGAGTTAAATGAAATGTTTCTGTGATACTTGAACATATTCTGTGAATTATACTATATCTACCCTGCAGACATACCTCTAAGAGTAACCCCAGGAGGCTTAAAGAAATATCAGCACTCAAATGCTCAGAGTAAAGGTCTGAACAGGCAACCCTGTGAATGGATAACTGCCTGGGGCTTCACCAAGCACAATATAGCTGTCAGTTGTTATTAAGTTAAAGATTTTCTGGGGAAGAGTGTTTTTTATTTTGCATGTCAGGGAGGTGAGAAAGAGACACATTCAGACAACCATCTTTTAAAGAAAACATAAAAAGAGCAGAGCCTTGTGGCTTACTCACCAGGGTTGGTTATAGTCAAGAGGTCAAGTTGACGCTGTTGCTGAAAAACAAATGATAAAAGGAGTTGTTGAAAGATAACTAATTTTAGTAGGTCAGCCTAGACATGTGAACCAAGTGTTCTGACATTTGCAATAGAATTAATTACAAGTTATGTGGCTCAGTGTTATTCTTTTGGATGGGAGCCATATGTGCTTAGCATAGTGCTTTGAATACTTTCTTGCTTGGTTGTTAAAGTGTTGGCAATTGATTTGGTGGTGAAAGTATAGATATGCATACTAGCTCAGATTTGATAACTAACTTCTTCATTCCAAGAAACTGCAAGTTTGATTGGACTTTTAGATTTGATGTAGAAATAGCTACTTTTCTGCTGGAAGGAAGATGGGATATTAAACTTGGGTGATTTGCACAGCACCTCTCCTAAGGACGACCACCATTACATTGAATATCTTGTCTGCAACAAAATAAAGGAGGACATATTACATGTTGGAACTTTGTTGAAGCTCTTTCTCAAGAGGATGGAATCAAAATCCAAACTTCTGAAAACATGTATCAAACTAAATTATCCATGGAAAACTGGAAACCAGTAGTTGTCAGTTGTATGACTATCCCATAGATATGGTGGGAGTGGTAGGAAATGGTGATCTCAATGGTTGTGAAGGAAAGTGAAGTTTTTCTTAACCCTTATTCAAGATTTATTTTGCAATAGCTTCGCGTGTTATGTTGTATGCATTAGCTTCATATACAATCAAAGTTATTGGTTTTTTGTGGGTATCCCTAGGCAGAAAAAGTATATTGAGTTTTAGAACAGATAACCTTCCCCACTCTCACTATTTTCAGACATAACAAAGTAAAAGTAAAGTATCTGCTATTTATAAACCGTCTTATAAGGCTTAAAGCACTCTCTGGACAGTTTACAGTTTAACTATCCTGTTTTCCCCAAAATAAGACCTAACTTGAAAATAAGCCCTAGTGTGATTTTTCAGGATGCTCGTAATATAAGCCCTACCCCAAAAATAAGCCCTAGTTAAGTGAAAGCCCACCCTCCACCATTGTGCAGCATTGTGCAGCAACCAGAAGATGACATGGCTGTAAAATAAAACATCCCCTGAAAATAAGCCCTAATGCATTTTTGGAGCAAAACTTAATATAAGACTCTGTCTTATTTTTGGGGAAACACGGTATGCAAGCTACATTTTGCTCTCCCCACCACCACAAGGGCTGTGTACTCTTTTTACCAACTTCAGAAGGATGGAAGACTGAGTCAACCTCAAGCTGGCTACCTGAGCCCATTGAGATTGGACCCAGGTTGTAAGCAGAATCTTGACTGCACTGTGCCATGATGGCAGGTTTCATCATCTCTGATTAATTATTACTTTATGGGATGTGTAGTCTTTTTAGGAAAAAAATACAAGATTGTGGGAGGCAGTTTTAAAGCAATGAAACTGGAGGAACCTATAGCAAATGTGCCATTAGGTGTCAAGGAGCCCTGTAAAATAGTTTCAGTTTTAAATCTTAAGAGCAACAAATTAATTATCCAATTTCTAGTGTTTAATAATCATGGATTAACTGTTAAACCTGATGTTCCAAGCTCTGGTTAAAACTAAGAACGGTATCTGGATAATCAAGGATTTTGATATTACCCCAGCTAATTGACTTGTAGATACAGTGGTGCCTCACATTACAATGTTAATTCGTTCCAGCGAAATCACTGTAGAATGAAAACATAGTAAAGCGAAATTAAAAAGCCCATAGAAGCTCATTAAAAACCTGTTTAATGCCTTCCGATGGGCTTAAAACTCACCGTCCAGTGAAGATCCTCCATAGGGCGGCCATTTTCACTGCCTATCTTGCAAGGAATCTGTCCCTAAACACAGCGGGGAGCCATTTTATTTACCCGGTGGCCATTTTGAAACCGCCGATCAGCTGTTGGAAAATTGTCATTTTGCGAAGAATCGGTTCCCGAAGCAGGGAACTGATCATCGCAAAGCGAAATTCCCCCATAGGAAACATTGTTTTGCGATTGCAAAAAGTTCATCGTAATGCGATTTCATCGTTAAACGAAGCAATCGTAATGCGAGGCACCACTGTAGAAGCATCCCTGTGCAACAGTGGCACCAGGCACGAACAAATCTCATTCTTGATGGATACAATACAGAAAACAAGGATGTCCATCTATAAACACAGAGGACAACATCACACCATGTCATAGCATGAATGTAAAGTGTTAAAATAACAGTACTATTTCTACATAAGTTGAAGTATGTGGAACACATTGGATCCAGTAGGTACAACTCCTTACTACTAATGTGGAAATGAAAAACATATCTCGGTCTAGCAGAACAAATCAGCATTCTATAAGACAATTCTAAAAATATGGGCAACCATCATAAACATTTATAGTTTTCAAACTGGGATTCAGATCAGGACCCTATCTGGCACAGTTGCAACAGGCAGTCTGTTATTGCCCTGTGCCAAATTTGGGGCAGAGTTTTAAGTTACGATTTTTTTAAAGTAAAACTTTTAAGCTTCCCCCTTTTCAAAAATAGGAGACCCTAAATGTCCCTAAGGGACGTGGTGGCGCTGTGGGCTAAACCGCAGAAGCCTGTGCTGCAGAGTCAGAAGACCAAGCAGTCGTAAGATCGAATCCACGCGACGGAGTGAGCGACCGTCGCTTGTCCCAGCTCCCGCCAACCTAGCGGTTCGAAAGCATGCAAATGCAAGTAGATAAATAGGGACCACCTCGGTGGGAAGGTAACAGCATTCCGTGTCTAAGTCGCACTGGCCATGTGACCACGGAAGATTGTCTTTGGACAAAATGCTGGCTCTATGGCTTGGAAACGGGGATGAGCACCGCCCCCTAGAGTCGAACACGACTGGACAAAAATTGTCAAGGGGAACCTTTACCTTTACCTTTACCTTTAAATGTCCCTAGATTTAAAACTGATCACATGGGTTGAAAAGACCAATCCTATTCGGAAATAGAAACTTTAAATAGAATGCTTGGATCCACCCATGTTTTAATCTGGAAAGAATCCAGGCTGCAGAGACTGATATACTGAACCTCAAAAAGGCCTTTCAAAAGGGAACAAACAGCCACTTTGTTATAAGACTGAGCATGCCTAGTACAGGCTACCCAACAGACGCTTTATTAAATAAAACATTGTATACATTCATAGGTGTGGAGAGGAAGATATTTAGAGAATAAAGTCACAGAAACAGACTAAAAAGACAGCTTTTCTTTTAAAAATTTTTAAAGGTTTGCTTTAAAGAAAGTAATGGAGTGACAGTTCTCCAGAAAAGGGAGGGCTTTTTGAAATACAGCTCTGTTTATTGCTTTGTGTTTGGGTTATAAGTGATTAACTGATTTTTAAAAAGGAGTCAACTTCTGGGATTTTCCCTTGCTTGGTGTCTCTTTATGAATGATAGTGAGCCTAAGAAGGTATCCTATAGACCATCTTAACTGCTGACATGGCTTTCACCAACATACTGGCTGCCCTTTGCTATGTAAAGCTTGGCATCCTTTTTCCTGCTGGCAAAGTGGGCACAATATTGTAAAGGAATATTGGGCCATTTCCTGGCATTTTGAATCATAGATAAAGAAACACAACATCCTACATTCATACCCCGGAAGTTTTTCAAAGAACTGAATTAGTACAGCAGATATTATGTACTTTAAAAATGAAACAAGGTACAATGCATACTATACAGAGAATCAGTAACTTTGGAGTGAATGGACTGAATATGTTCCAGCAGGTTACTTCATTATTATTTAAGTCTTTCCTACAAGCATGTTATTGCACACTCACTACTAATCAGTGATGGAGCAGCTGAATTCTAAGAAAGTGCAAATGTAATTCTCACAAATAATTCATATATTTGGGTGTGTTGAAAACACCTTTCATATTCATTTCACATTAGTGAGCTTTTGCTTCCCATATTCTCACACCAGTGCTTTACTGCCATATCCTTCTTTTCCCTTAGTTAAGAAGGATAGTTGCTATCCTTCTTAACTCTCTTGGTTCCACTTTTAGGTAGCATGGGCATTGCAGAATATACTGTCCACTTCAATTTATCTCTCCTAATGTGCTCAATAATGTCTGTGTTGCTTTCATTTATTGCCAGGCCTATTGATCCGCTTCTAATCTAATTCTCATCATTATACTGTCTCTATTCTTTTGGTGACACTTGGAAGTCCTTGAGGACAGAAGCATGTCTGCATGAACACTAAAATGAAAACGTTTTCCCTTTGGTTCCCCCCCCCCCATTGATGGTGTCCTCTAACCAGGCCCAAAGTTACAATCAAAATGCTACTCAAAGCTGTAAATGCAGTTCTCAGGTAATGATGAGTTGTACTGGCAAGAGTGCTTCGAGCCCCTACTTATGAAAAAACCAAGGCATATTTAGCAGTCCTGTTTTTTTGGTGGTAAATGCTGGTTTGCCATCTCCTTGTTTCTGTAGGAATGTCAGCGTACAGAAAGAGGCAGACTTACTGTGGGCTTTGTTTTGATTTTGTGAATGTTTTCTCTTCCTTTCAAAAGATTACCTAATCGTTACAAATACTCAAGGCTCATCCATACAAAAACATTTTTAACATCCCCCTTTAAAAAGTCAAATTCCTAAAATAGTGACATATTTTCGAGACAGAGTTCTGTATCTTCCCAAGCTGAAATACATTAAATAGAAATGTCCTCCTTTTAAGACTCTGTGGATTACATGGGCTTCCAAGGGACCTGCAGACTTTATTAATATGGGCCCATTATCTGAGCAGAAGGTGGATTGTAAAACCATGATAATTCCAAACAGAATGTATAATAAATCAGAATGATATAGCCTTCAGTGACACCTGTGTCATTTAGTTGTCCTTCCCAGTACATTTGTGCTTCACTGAGATACTCTCTACCACTGTTAGCTACATTGCTCTCCTATATTTTAGCGAATTTTGCATTGGAAGCAATACTCAAATTATATCCCAAGACTAAGTTTATTGGACTTGTCCCTTAACTTTGCTCCAAACTGCACTTCCAATATTACCTTAAAAAT